TAGTAGTAGTACGAGTAGTAGTGGTAATAGTAGTAGTAGTAGTAGTAGTAGTAGTAGTAGTATCGTCCAAAGTGTTAAGACGAATACTAGCAGCGCTTGTGGTAGTGGAAGTGACTCGTAGTGGTAGTGGTAGTGGTAGTGGTAGTCGTCGCAGTGGTAGTAGAAGGGGGAGTGCAAGTAGCAGCAGCAGCAGCAGTAGCCGTAGCAGTAGCAGCAGCAGTAGTAGCACTAGCAGTAGCAGCAGCAGTACCAGCGTAGTTGTCGTCGTCGTAGTAGTTGTGTCGTCGTCACGACTATTGCTGTTGCTCCTTGCATACTTCTCTAAGACTCGAAGCATACCCGACTTTCAGGCATGAGCGGTCACGTCACGTGTTCAAAACTCCTCAACCCAAGGAAGGGGCTGGCAGTCCCAAAAACGAACAAACTCTCAAACCCGCTTCCGAGCCCTCAGCCAGAAACGCGCCCTGCTTCCCAAAACCCAGATGCCTTTCGCACGGAAGAGATGCGTTTCGTCTCCATGTCCCTGACCTCGCCACTCGTGGAGAAATGCCATTGCAAGAGTTTAAGCCAGAGCTTTTGGTTTTGTTTTAGGACCTGAAGTGTCTTTGGACAAATATGATGGCATAAGCGAGCAGCCCAATCAGCACAGAACTCAGACAACAGTAGGGAAATACGCGGATGCCAGCATGCGGAACAACAGCATCTGAGAGTCCGAGTTCCAGAACGTGCCATGCTGAAGCTGGGATCCAACGATGTGATAGCTCAATGTCAAGCAAGACTGTGCGCAATAAGCGACCTTGCATCCTTTACGTGAGCTGCTGAATTCAGTCATATGCTCTGTAAAATGGCTACTGACTTACTCAAATCAGCTTCCTGAAGAGTGCCCCGAGTAAGAGCAAGACACGTGGGTAGGTCGCAATTTGGTCCCTTCGTGACGGTGCACCTTTTAGTTCCAGTCCCTCAGGAATGCCAAATCACATGTGTATGTATACATATATATATATATAATCTAGCTGTATATATATATATATACACATATATATATATATATACATGTGATTATCTTCAACATGTATACATATATATATATATATAGAAAGAGGGACACGTACCCATTGGTCCATATGTTTTCTGATTGAAGTTCATTTTCTAGACACATAACTGCAGACGTGTGGACATCATTGGTTATAAGACCGAAACCAGCATCCAGCCTGCGCTGACTGCACGAAGCTGCAAGCTGTCGACGACGAATCCGCCTGGGGCATCAGGAGTGTCAGAACATAAGTGACCGGTTTAGGGTTCAGAGGACCCCCTACTTCGACGGTGTAGGACTTAGACTTAGGGTTTCATAGGGACCCTCTGAATTCTAGGGTTTGGGGGTATATACAGACGAAACACACGGGATCCTGTGGCATTCTCGTTACAGATTCTTTAAATCCGATTCCCGTGTTTTCGGAAACTTCCCATCTCCTGAGGGGGCTTCCAGACTTAGAGGGTCGGCTGCCGGCTCAGGGTTTGGGAGTTTAGGGTTTAGGGTTTAGGAGTTTAGGAGTTTAGGGTTTAGGAGTTTGGGGTTTGGATTTAGAAGTTAAGGGTTTAGGGTTTAGGAGTTTAGGGTTTGGGATTTAGGAGTTTAGGGTTTAGGGTTTAGGAGTTTAGGGTTTGGGATTTAGGAGTTTAAGGTTTAGGGTTTGTTTTTGAACGACACTTTTTCCATCAGAGTTTAGGATTTCGGGTTGAAAAATAAATGAGGAAAACTGAACCCTAGACTCCTCGACCTTACAGAACCCTCAAGTCAAGCTTAGATTGGGATGCGCAGCCAAATCTAGAACCCTCTCGCTCGAGCTTAAGACCAAGAGATGCTGCAACCTACACCGTGTAGGGTTTAAGGCTTAGGGTTTAGGGTTTAGGGTTTAGGGCTTAAGGGTTTAAGGCTTAGGGTTTTGGGTTTAGGGTTTAAGGCTTTGGGCTTTGGGTTTATGGTTTTGGGTTTAAGGGTTTAAGGCTTAGGGCTTTGGGTTTAGGGTTTAAGGCTTTGGGTTTTGGGTTTAGGGTCTAAGCTTTCCTGGGCGAAAAAATCGGGAGGTGCAAAGGGTGGTAAGAGGTGCCTAGAGTCTGCTCTCCTGCGCCATATAGTGTACTATGGTGTGCTCCATTCTGCAGCTTTTGTCTTGCTTTTTTGCCATATTTCTACGATTTTGCGTGCACGATGGCATACCGCAAGCCCCGTAAACCCGACTGAAGGGAAGTCCGTCCAGCCTACGATCCGATAAGGTCCGCATATTCCAGACGTATCGTCTTCGTAGCGGATTTCGAAGTCGTTGATGCAAATTTGCATTCCTCAGCGAGCCATAATTACAGGATGCATATGCGCATGCGTAATTACAAAAAACCTTTACATTAATTATAAATATCATTGTACAAAGATTATCATTACATGCTGCAAAATGCCTGGAACATACGCCACGGGAGTGTGGGTATGGGCTCGGCTTTTTGCGTTTTTCCTCTAGCAGGCATTGCAGGGTATAATTACACGACTTGGACACCACCAGAGATTTGGAGACGAGGCGAATGATCACACGATAGGGAATACGCCAGGTCCCACAAAGCCTCGCTGCTTAAGGCAGGACCCTTCAGCTCACCTGGAGGATTGCACTGGCAGAAAGGACCCAGAGAGCCCAATACCCCTTAATTAAGGAATATACCTTAAATTATAGGGGCCTTAATATTATGATTTCATGTATATTCCTTAATTAAGGGGTATTGGGCTCTCTGGGGGTTCGGTAGAGCAGAGGAGGCGGGGTGAGTTTTCCTGCAAACCCGCGCCGAGAGCAGCTCGAGCCGATATCAGCAAAGCCCCAGGCTATGTATGCATCTATGCAATCTACATTTGTGAAGTTTTCACAATTAGGGTCCCTTTTAGGATCCTTTTTAAAGGGGTGCCGTACTATATTGGGGACCCAGAAAGGGACCCCAATTTAGAGAACTACCCATTTCCCAGCACGTCTTGGTTTTCAGCGCCTATCAGTGCCGGGCACTGCCCTATAGACCCTGAATCTGAACCCAGGCTTCCACAGACAGCATCAAGGGGCCGTTGTTGAGAATGTCTCTCAGCAGCTTTGTCAGCTTTCGGCGGATCCAGCTTGAACCCACCTTGCCGTGTGTCATGCATGCCTTTGGGAATTCTGTCATTTTGGGGGGTTCGGGCTTAGAGCTGAGAGGCTGAAGACCGCCACTACTCTGCCATTACCATGACATCAGGTACATCTGTAAGCCGACAAAGTAAACTTGGACGCACAACTGCTGGAACATCGTGTCTTTCAAAGGGTCGCATTTACAAGACAAAGATCTGTACGAATGAGGTACATGACGGCCTGAGAATGTTTATAACCAACCCTACAGAATCCGACGCTGACATCCACCTGCGTCTGGTGCCGAACACTGCCTTGGGCAGCTTTGTCCTGGGAACACTCTGCTTCGGCAAGGGTTGTGCAAGGGTTCCATGAAGGGCCTATGAGGGTTCTAAAGGGTTCTAGAAGGGCCGTATAATGATTCTAGAAGGGATCTAAAAGGATTCTACAGGGGTTCTACAGTGGTTCTGTCTTTAAGGGCCCTTATAAAGGTTGCAGAAAGGTTCTACACGGCATGCTATGTATGGGCTCTAGAAGTTTCGTCTATATGGTTTCACAAGGCCTTTAGAACGGATCTATAAGTAAGCCAGGGTTCCATAAGGGTTGTTGGGGTGTTCCACAAGGGTTCTACAAATTTGTAAGGGTTCCATAAAGGTACTACTTAAAGGGTTCGGCCAAGGTTCCAGCAGGATTCTGACATGTTATACAAGTTCTAGTAAGGGTTCTATAAGTCTTAAGTGTTCTATAAGCATTCTCAAAACCTTAGCCCCACCAACACAAACACCATCGGCGCCACCACCACCACCACCACCACCACCACCACCACCACCACCACCACCGCGACCACCACCGCGACCACCACCACCACCACCGCCGCCGCCACCACCACCACCACCACCAGCACCACCACCAGCAGCAAGAACAACAACACGCACAAGGCTGACGGTAATAAACAAGCTCACGAGCAATAATAAAAGTAACTTTAACGCTTAAAGACATCATATCAACAGTAGTGGTAACGGAAGGAAAAGCCGTAGGAATAGTAGAAGGATAGCGACAAGGATACCAATAAACAAGAGTGACACTAAGAAGCATTCATAACAATATATAACAATAATACCATAAACACAATACAACTAATGGTAGTAATATCGGCTAGATTTGCAGAGCCTCCAGGCCGGCAAGCCCTCCAAACCCCTCCTGCAAACCTGCAAAATCCGAAATATCTCTCCATCCATGTCCTCTGGGCCTTTGTCTTTCTTGCGAGGCTTAGCCTGCACCAGGAACCGGTTCGGGTTTTGGGGTTTAGAGTTTGGGCTTAGGCCTCAGCTTGAGGGCTTATGGTAGGGACTGTCAGGATTTGGGTATACTCCATGTCAACCCACAGGACAATTCTTTTCCCTGAACGCCCCACTTGTCACACGTTCGCGGGGTCTTGGAACTTATCTTTCGTCTACTGGGCAATGATACCCGAGATGCCAGTATCAGCAACGTTCTGACCCTTTCTCGCCACAGGAGCAGCTACAGTCCCTTCTGTGACTGACCGTAATTGGAAGGACAAGAATCGGCATTGTTACAACGCAGCATACAGGGAAAAGCTATACGTGATCCTCAAAGTTTAGCACTCTTCCATGAGAACACTGAAGCTAAGGTTCATTGCTGTTCTCAGCAGGCAGGCTACTCCGAATATAACCGCCATAGCTGTTACCATTACCGGTCATTTCCAGTCCTAGCCCTGCACCTCTCTACCGTCCCTGTAACTACGACCTGACTCGTTACGCGGTGGCTTGTTACTGTGCTCTGCTGTAAGCCTGGTAGATGAAGTCGAACTCCGAAAAGGAAAGCTTGTTTCACTCCTCCCTAATCCGCAAGCGATCATAAGGGCTTATAACAACTATCAGCGACTGAACGCTCACATGACCTGGAGCCCTACACCCTGTAAACCTTAGATCCGGAACATAAGAATGAAACAACGCTATGCAAAGGCCCTTCAGTCCCTAGACCAGAAGCCTTGAGCCCTATAAACCTGAAACCTCAAACCCTGCAGAATTGTGGACCCTGGTAATCCCTGAAGCAGTAGGCTTTTGGACCCCTAAACCTTACACCTCTAAAATGTGGTGGCCGTAATAATTAGATTGGGTTTTCGGGTATCATGTAGCTTGGGCAAAATACGGACTAATAGGCTTATACTACTACTTATCCCGACCACGAAAAATGAAACCAACCCAAAACCCTAGACCTGAACCGTGTCTCCGTGCATGTTCTGAAGTCCAAGGAACGAAGGGCTCAATAGCCTTGCATGCCAACTTCACGGTCTTGCCTGGCCCACTCTGTTCAAAGAGGGTTCTTACTGCAAAGGTTCTTAAGAGACTAACAAGAGCACTGGGGTTTGGGGGCTTTAGGGATTAGGGCCTCATAGTTCAAGCTTTTTGGGCACCAAAACCACAGTTGAAAAGGGCTTTGTGTTGTTTGAACCTTGTGGAAAAGCTCAATAAGACCACACGGGGAATTCCACGAAACCTAAACCTTTGAAGGTTTCATGACATTCAGCTTCAGGAGCACACGCTTTACGACCTCACAACTCGGACAAGCCAGGGCGAGGATTGATTCACGCTTTCGACTCTCGCATTCGCACAAGGCCGGCAAGGCTTCGCATAGTTTGTTTAGGGTTTAGGGGACCTCTACAAGGCCAAACCGGGAATCTCCTGAGGTGCGGGGTCGCTCTTTACGGGCCTCCAAAACGATTTACAAACATGTACGGGTACCTATGTAAGGTAGGGTAAGACCACAAGACAAATATCCAAAATGGCCACCTAGCTGCTTTTGGAGGCCAAGACATCCTCGAAGTTCCAATCGGCGGCACGCTCCTGACACGGAATTAATGTAGGGGCCTTTATAATTAGAATAGGGTTTTGGGGTTCGTTACTACAATAATAGTATAATTAATATACCCCAAAACCCTATTCTAATTATTATAACACCCATGTATTAGGTTTCCTTTGATTTGAGGGATCTATAAGGGTTACTTTAAGGGTACTCTAGGCTTGTAGGATTCAGGCTTTTACGGCTTAAGGGGCTAGGATTTAGTGTTTCAAGAGCTAGGAATCATGGGAAAATTTCCTTGGATTCAGAGCCTCTGGGGGCTTCGGTACCAACATACTGTAGGGGCAGTCGAGGATAATATCGACAATCCCAGAACTCGAAGAAACTCTAAGACTCTAAGCCTCAACTTTTAGGGTTTGGGTCCAAGCTATAAAGCTGAAAAACGTCCTGTCCGCAAAATACTAGCCTCCCGGTTTAGGGCTGCTACTGTGGCCTGAATGGAATGGGGTTTTGGGGTATGCTATACTATATGTTCGTATAGGCATTACGGAACTATAGGGAGAGAATATCAGCAATGGGGTTTGGGGGCGCAATATGCTATAATCACAAGGGAACTCTAGGGAGATACGTTTAGCGATTATTCTGACATCTATATTAACCCATGTGTGCCCCGCAATTATGTCAAGTCTCGATTCCTAAAGCGAAGCGCTGAAGCATGAACCCTGAATCCCTGTAGCACCCCTCTCAAAACCCTAAAACACCCTGCCAAGTTCAGGAAAACCCTTCAAAACCTTGAAGCACACTAAGCAAACCTTCAAAGCCTTTCTGGAACACTTGGAAACCTTTATCAAGCCCTTATGAGAATCCTTACGAAGCCCTAGCAGAGCCCTATATAGAAGCCTTTTAAACCCTAAACCCACCCCAATCCTAATCCCCTAAACCCTAAACCCTAAACCCTAAACCCCCTAAACCCTCAACCCTGCCTCGCTGCGACCGGGCCCAACGACCAGGATCACATTCTGCATGAAGACCATGAGGCGATGATGGCCCATCTGAGTTTAGGGTTTAGGGTCTAGGGTGTGGAAATTCGGGAGCTTTTTAGGGCGTTTGTTCCCGACCGGCTTAAAAGACTAGGCCGTTCAGGGTTTTTGGGGATGAGGGAGGATGGCCCATCTAATTGTTTCCCTCTCGCATGGCAGAGAACGTATTTTGCAGGCGAGGTTGAATAGATGTGTCCGAACTCTCTACGATTGTTATCGTTAATTCTTTGCAACTGATTTTCACTTCACTTCTGGCGAATAGTAAACCCATACGAAAGAAGTACATCTTATGAAGCTTATGGTTTTGGGGCTGCCGTGGCAGTGGCTTGTTTTGGGGATGATGG